AACACAGTGAGGGACGGTGAGAAGAATATGGGCTTAGCAATCTAGTTTAGTCTTTGCCAGCTAGGAGACCTTGGATGTGTCCCTTCACCTCTAGGCTACAGTTGCCCCTTCGCTAGGTGGGGGTAGTTGCTCAGATCAGAGTCCATGAAAGTTCAGGTCCTCCGCCAGCTCCCCCATTGCTGGGAAGGAGGTAAGCTCTTTGTCCCTGGTCTAGGGCCCCACTGCAGGTGGCTCTCCTGGGCAATGGCCAGGCCAGGCTGGGGCTCCGAACTCCATTCCTTCCCCAGCTTCATCCTCTCTGGCCTTTAATAGTTTGCAACTGACTCGATCTCTTTCCTTTTTTGAAGACGTCAGTGCTTTGATTTTCCCTGCTTTGTAAAATGAGGATGATCATAACACGACTCCCACTAAGATGTAGAATAAATTAGTTAATATGTGTAAAAGAAACAGAACAGTGCCTGCCATAAGGCACTATAAAAGATTAATTCTTGCTGGGCATGGTGGCTCACGCCTGTAACCCCAGCACTTTGGGAGGCCCAGGCGAGAGGATTGCTTGAGCTCAGGATTGCTTGAGCTCAGGATTGCTTGAGCTCAGGATTGCTTGAGCTCCGAGGCTCCGAGACCAGCCTGAGCAACAAAGCAAGACCCTGTCTCTACAATAAATCAAAAAATTAGCCGGGCATGGTGGCTTATTCCTGTGGTTCCAGCTACTTGGAAGGCTGAGGCGGAAGGATCACCTGAGCCCAGCATATCGAGTCTGTGGTGGCCGTGAGCAAGCCACTACCCTCCAGCCTGGGTGACAGAGTGAGACTCCCCACTCAAAAAAAAAAAAAAAAAAAGATCAATTCTTAAATAAGCTACCGCAGGTTTAGGTTCTAACATGATGTGACAGATGCAAGACGTGTCTTGTCTTTTGCAGCAGAAATAGCCCCTGAGGTGGGCATCCCTGGGGAACAGCACTCCGTGCCTGTTCTGTTTGGAGAGGAAGCAGACCCACTCGATCGGCTTCCAAGTGTCTCAGAGACGATGAAGTCATGGCAGTGTGTGGTCCTGCCGGCTGCCCAGCCTCCTGTCTGACTTCCTGGCCAAAGCACACTTCCTCTGCCCCCACACTCCGCCAAGGGCCTGCAGGGCCCTGGTCCGCCCTCTCCTCCTCTGTCCCTGGATGTCACCGCTCCCGTTCCTTTCACAGCATTGCTTTGCCAGAGAAAAGCAATCACTGGGTACCAGATGCCCCTGGGGTCTGTCCCACCTGCAGGATCGAGCCATGGGGATGTGGTCTTCCCGGCCCACCATGACCTCTCACTTTCTTGCTAACTGCTTGCTCCAGCAGGACTCAAGTCTCCCTTTAAAGGCTGTGCTGGACTCCCCTGCTCTCAGCCAGCGGTGGGGCGAGCGTTGGTCTGGGAGCCTCAGGACTGGCACGAGTTCTCTTTTTTCTCCCTTGTCTGAAAAGCACCTCTGCGGAAGCACCACTTCAGCCCCGCAGGTCAAGGCTGTGGTGAGCCATGGGCATGCCACTGCTCTCCAGCCTGGGCGACAGAGTAAGACTCCGACTCAAGAAAAAAAGAGAAAAGTGCCTATGGGAATTGAGCGCTCAGAGGACCACTTTCTCTCTGGGATACAGCAAATGTCATGCACATAATCACGTGAGATGATACACTTGGAGCTGCCACTCAGTCTGACGTGGTGGACCACAGGGCGGCCATGGCTGAGAAATGGCTCTGTGCCAGCCACCGACCAGGTGCTGGGCCAGGGAGGGACGGGGGCACAGCCCTGAGTTGAAGGAGTCCCCGTCTAGGGAAGAAACGGGGATGAGCACGCATGAGCTCCACCGGGTGCCAGGCGGGGTCCCAGGACCGTCTTTCACACGCCTCGCCTCACGTCAGCCACCCCACGAGTCTCAGGATCTTCTGTCGACAGACAGTCACCCTCCGCCGGCAGCCGAAATGACCTTGCCTCTCTCCAGAAACACAGGGATTCTCAACAAAATTCCCAATTTACAGATGAGAAAACAGACTGGGAGACAGGAAAGGCGATGTCCCAGAGCCAACGGCCCAAGAGTGGCAGAGCTAATGTGGAAGGAGGGGACAATCCAGAGTCCCCCACTCCACCGAGCCACGGACCAGCTTCCCAGTCCCACCCTGTTCAGACACAAAGCCTGAGTTGTAGGCTGAGGCTGGCAGTCAAAGGAACCAGCTCTTTCAGACCTGGGCCCTGAACGGCAGTTTTCGACGATTCAAAATGGAAAAAGAAAGAGATGAATAGGTGGAGCCCAAGAAAGTAGTTGGGCAATAAAGCCATCCTGTCGGATGACATAATGGCATATACAGGATACTGCAACATGAAGAGGAAGGCCTGAATACGGGCCTTGGTGAATCATAACGTATTGCTCCTGGTTCATTAAGTGCGGCAAACGTGCCCAACCATGGCAGTGTTTTTTGTTGTTTTGTTTTGCTTTGTCTGAGTCGGGGTCTCACTCTGTCTGCCTGGCTGGAACTCCTGGGCTCAGGCGATTCTCCTGCCTCAGCCTCCCGAATAGCTGAGACTACAGGTGCGTGTCACCACACCTGGCTAATTTTTGTTTTAATTTCTTAGAGAGGAGGCCTCGTTATGTTGCCCATGCTGGTCTCAGACTCCTGGGTTCAAGCAGTCCACCTGCCTTGGCCTCCCAAAGTGCTAGGATTACAGGCCTGAGTCACCACACCCAGCTATGGCATGGTTTTAAGGTAGGGAAAAGGGGACGGAGAACGTATAGGCTCTCTCTGTACTTTCTGCTCATTTTTTCTGTAAACTTAAAGTGGCTCTAAATCATAAAATATATTATTTAAAAAAAAAAAACAGAAAAGGAGAGAGCTGTCCTGTGTCCCAAAGTGACTGGGGGAATTCGTTGACACCAAGGGTCCGTAATTTTCTCCTTCGGGAGCTGAGTACCTGCACCCTGTTGGCGTCCACATCTAGTGTGTCACAGAAACAGTCACCAGATTTGCCTGAGGTTGGCAGGAGCCGGGTTCCTCCAGAGCCAGGAAGCCTATATCTGCGTCACGGCTCTGCTGTGCCTCTGCACGCTGCTCCCATCTCTGTGCCTCAGTTTCCTCACTGATTTGATGAGAAGACTAATGTCCCTGGTGCCCTCACAGGGTTGAAGTGAAGGGAGGCACAACATAAGAGACCTGAAAGCTCAGGAAGGCGGGACCGCGTGGGAGGACTAGAAAAGAAAGAAAACGGCCGTGGTTAAATGACCCCAAAAGACCGGTGCTACTCAGCACAGCTGAAGGGTAAGAAGTTAACAGGACATGTCTAGACATCCGTGGGAGCGAGCCACAACACGGTGTTTCTTGTCGCTGCTTGACCCGCAGAATTTAACGCCCAGGATGCCACTTGTGACATTCCTAAACCTCAGTGAGTGTCCTCGTCTTTGTCTGTGAAATGGTCGCACGATGCTGATCTCACAGATCTTCTGTGAGATCTCAACACAGGACACCAGGTGAAATATCTGGTAAAACACTTCACAAGCGTAGGTCTCCTCTCTCGCCAATAGTTTTTCCCCTGAGCACAGTGAACAGGCAGGGTTGGTACACGTCAGGAATGAGTGGGGTTGGGTGTTCTGGAAGCTTCCACCACCTCCCCACAGGCTGCCCCACTGGCAGCCAAAATGAGCTTTCCTCTGTCCAGAAACACATGGATTCTCAACAAAATCAGGCCCCGGGAAATCATAATCCCCCACCCACTCAGGGACAGATGACATATGGAAACCCGCTCTCTTCTGTCTAGAAACGCTCTCGGTCAAGAGGGTAGCCATGTCTGGGGAAAGTTCCACGGGCCCCAGGCTCCAACTGGGGGACCCTGATGTCACTGCTCTGGAGAAAAGAGCTTCTGACTCCACGAGTCGTTGTCAGTTCTGTGTTGGAAAAGAGAAAAGAAGACCCAGGCCAAGTTTTTCTTCCTTAAAGAAGAAAATGAGCCCGGGCTTGGTGGCTCAGCCTGTAATCCCGCGCCTTTGGGAGGCTGAGGTCAGTGGATTGCCTGAGCTCACGGGTTCGAGACCTGCCTGGGCAGCGAGACCTCATCTCTACAATAAATCAAAAATCAGCCGGGCATGGTAGCACGCGCCTGTAATTCTGGCTACTCGGAAGGCTGAGGCGGAAGGATCACCGGAGCCCAGTGGGTTGAGGCTGCGGTGGCCGGGAGCGGCCACTGCCCTCCAGTCTGGGTGACGGAGTGAGACTCCAACTCAGAAAAAAAAAAGAAGAAAATGAGCTCCTGTGTTAATGACTTGCATGCTCTCCAAAAAGCTTCCCCCCAAAACCCAGCCACCACATTCGCTTCGGACCACTACCTATATGTGAAAGAGGGTGAGGACGATTTTCCTGATTTTACCAGTGAGAAAACTGAGATTTGGAAAAGTCGAATGAAGGTCTCAGAGTCTCCTAGACAGAGTGAGAGCCAGGAGAGATGAAGCTGCACCCATCCTTGGATTCCCAGCTGACCCCGCTTCCCAGAAGGAAAGGCCGAAATCTATTTATCATCTCCGTCTCCCACACGAGTATCTGGTTGCATTTTTGCCTTAAGCAGTTGCCCATTTCACAGGTGCAGAATCTTCTTTGTAGCCTCACACCATGTGGCCACCCAGCACCCCGGGCTTCTGCTCATGCTGGATACCTACCCCGCTCACACACAGCCCAGCCCACTCGGTAATTCCAGCCTAGACCTCCCGCCCATCCATCCCTAGCACATAAGACATTCCATTTCCAATGAGACTCCTGGAAAACAGAGAGGAGCCCCAGTCGCTATCCTTGAGGCTGGGTCAAACCATCCCAGTCTAAAACCCTCTCCCTGTGTGTTAACCTCACTTGACCCTCACAGCAGCTTTGGAAGTCAAGTGAAGTGATTCCCATTTGCAGATGGGGAAACTGAGACTGGGAGACAGGAAAGGCGATGTCCCAGATCCCACGGCCAATGAGTGGCAGAGCTGGTCCTGGGCTCTTCAGATTCTGAGGCCAGGGTGCCTCCCCTAAGCCACTGTGGCCGGCTGGCGGCCGCTGGAGATGGCGGAAAAAGTGAGGCTGGTGCACATTTGGGTTGGTCCCAGATTCCACTCTGTGCTTTCAGTTGGTGGGGAGGATGTGGGGGTAGCCAGGGGGATAAAAAGGGTGGAGCCTGGAGCAGGGACAGGCCAACGTTCGTAAGTGAGGCCTGAATTAAAGGAGGTAGGAAGCCGGGCTCGGTGGCTCAGCCTGTAATTCCACGCCTTTGGGAGGCTGAGGTGAGTGGATTGGCTGAGCGCGCGGGTTCGAGACCCG